AACACCAAAAACCACGTATCGATATCTTGTTTTTTTTGTGTGTGTATGAGTGTTATTTATTTTTGTTTAACTTTACTTTGGTCTCTAACGGATGTTGTTTCACTTTCTTATCGCGAATACTTTGCAATAACAAAAATTCCAATTTAATTCTGATTTCTGTGGGGCTTAAATTTAAACGTTAATAATAAGACGGATATCATTCATATTAATGGATACTAACTTCGTACAATTTCCTTTTCTTTTTAATATCTCAACCTGGGATTTAATGGTGTGGTCATGTTTATTTCTTTTTGTTGTGGTTTTCCACGTGCCACCCGAATAAGGAGGTAATAAAATCTTGTTTTACTCACGTGTCTTCAAGCGGTCAACAAATTTATTTTGTTGATTGAGTTAAGTTTGTAATGATGACAGATTGAGTTCAATTGGAATGATACAGAATATATGTGGAGTTTTACAATTATTTTATTTGCTGAATTAATGATCTAACCCATTTGAATTTATTTGTTTATTTTTCTGAGATGAATCCTTTGCGCAAAGGGGCTACTTTGCAACATAACAGGATTTCACGTGTTTCAAAAGATGATTTTTTCTATAAAGGTTTTGTGCTCCTTAAGACTACTTTTCCGAGAAACGAACCAATTTATGATTTATGTTTTTCTTAACCTTATTTTTTTAAATTCTTTAGTCGAATGATCAATAATTCATAATTATTGTTTAAAATTGTTTGGTTTTGCGCAATAGATGTCTAGAATTCTAGGCGTTGTCCTTAAAAAAATCTAAAAATCTCGTCGACCGCATTACCATGTGTGACGTCTCGCCATTATCGCTCGTAATTACTATCGGCTATTAAATTGGTTCTGTCGAACGGTATAGAAAACTTAACGTACTCACGTCGAAGGTGAACGAATCTAAATGTCAACGGGCTACAAATCGGTTTCGTCCTACCTCGTAATACGTCGTTACGAGGTATTTAGTATAGATGTTGATACAATATTTTAATACAATGCAGCATAACTTATTTAAAGTGTGTTGGAATATAATTTGAATTGTTAAAATATTTTGAAACATGTTTTAAAGCTATGTATCTGAAAACATCAAGTGTATGTTATGTCCAATAAGAGGAAAGATTTTCAACAAGCCTTAATTTCGTTACATGTTTCTCACCAGCTACTAAGTTGCTACCTAATAGTAGCATATTTTTATACACTAGCATTTAAATATTAGCTACATTAAAGAGAAAAATTACATATTCATCACAAGATAGTGCACATGGTGGCGCAACAAGTGCAATTTTTATGACGCACTATATTTTCCTTTCCATTATGTCTTCAGCCGAAATTATGTTGAGTAGGTAGATTAAAAAAATTTAAATATTCATTCTTTGTCTGTCCAAGTTGAAATATAAAAGATGTAGTTTACAGCGCCAATTTTAATTTATTAGCAGTGTCACCGGGTTAAAAATTCATAAAACGTTGAATAAAACTGCTTGTAAAGTTATTAAAGATAAATTATTAAAGAGTTTTATCATAAAAACTATCACTAAAGACAAAGATAAATTTTACGAGTAATTTGTAAGATTTATTCTCGCTATAAATTCTGCTGTGAACATTGACCATTTATAAAGCGTTTAGAGATGCTACATCATCATAAATAAAAGCTTCCAAATAGAACCGTTAGTTGTCATAATTTTAACCATAACTTAAGTGCATAAATTATTTAAGATAAAAAAAATCATTGCAATATTGCTACTTATTCCTATTTCCAGTGGTTTTCAATTTTAATTATCTTCTCCAACCAGTTTTTTCATTTTCTCCCTCACCCAGCCTAGTCATGCACCGTTCTCTTTTCAGGATTCTATTAAGATTTTGAAATCAGATTTAGTATCTATATTCTAACTATATTATCTCTTGTTGGATTCGAAACTTGCCTTATTTCCCATATTTCTGCCTCATTCGTAGTTAGCTACTGAGCAAATTATCATACATTAATGTCGTTTCTTACATTTATTACAAAGTCAAAAACTGTTTCAATAGATGAACGGCATAACCTGAAAGGTCTCTTCAAACACTTTTTGCACTTTTTGGTCTCCTCCTTTTTTATTTTCATAGCTGATTCATCACACAAATTTGATTTGAAAAACTTATATTTGGAATACCCTCATTTGAGTAACTTAGATGACATCTCAGCATTTGTTTAATGAGAAATCTTAGTACTCTGCTTTCAATTTTTTCACCAAACCTCTTCTTACCAAATGATTTCAAACTTGGTTAGTCTTTAATGGCGATCACAATAGCAATTCGATTGCTAAACTTGTCTCTAAATGTCAATAAGAAGTTATTGAGTGTTTTTGCATTTATGCCAAAATCAAAGAAGCAAAAATAACACTTTTTTCCAACAAGAAAAGTTAGAGGTTGTGGAATGAGCAGAAAGATCATAACTGTTTCTACAGCCGTAATATATTTAATAAAAGCACATTCTAGAAATATTCTGATAAATTTCCGAATCTGTACGTTTCTGTCAAATAACAACGCTTATAGAGTATAAAGGTGTTGTTATAACTGCGGATGTTTCTTCTTTTGGTTTCACACTCAGTTGTTCAGGTGATGTGTTTATTAACTTGCCTGATGGCAATTGAGGTTGAGGATAGTCGATTAGCAAGGAGTGATAGACTTCTTGAACGTTTTCGGCATTTCTCTTGAGATTTGTTTCCAAAGATTTATGGAAACTATTTATTCTGTAGGTGACAACAGGTGAGATGTGAAGACATTAGTTGACATTATCTAGTTCATTTCAAACCAGACTAAAACCATGCAATAAAGTTGAAAAAAAAATAGAATGGCTAATAAACTTCTCTGTTTTAGGTACTGAATCATAAAGTTGGTAAATGAAAACAAAATTAACTAATTAATGGATTATAAGAAAAAATTTCTAATGTAAATTGTGGGATATCTAATTATACAAATGAAAAAATAAAAAAAAAAAACTTAAAAGGATACGTTCTGGGAAAAGAGTGTAGTAGAAAACGGAAGTGGGCGTGTATGGTTTGAAGTTCTCCAATTAAAAATTAAACTGGCCGTCGAAACCGAGGATTTTTATTGCGAAATTAGAGGCGAATCCTCTCCTTTATTGCCCCCGGTACGTGACCATTAGCGATATCCTCGGCTCACGCCTATAATCTGCTATCGGCGATGTAACAGTTGCAGCCGGTAGAGCTGCGCGGCATTAGCATACATTATATGCTGAGTGGAACAAGGCCAAAGGAAGCCGAATAAATATGGGATTTTCGAGACGATGAGGTCCAACCAGTTGCTAAGCACCCATCCGGGGGTTGGTGTGGACAGGTGTTGATAAGTTTTGTCTTTTTCAAAGGACGCTTTTTGCTTCTTCTCGTTCTCCCTTCTTTTTCGTCTTTTGGAATTTGGACGGTTTCTAAACGATCGCCGAGTTTTCATTGAATAGAGGGTGTGGTGCGTAAAAGTACCTTAAAAGTACCGTCGCGACGTCTACGTCTTTTCGATTGCTATGACGATGAAGGATTTCGATTTTTTTATTTTCTTTCTCAAAAGGAATAATAAACCTGTTTACGAATCACATCGAATATATAACTTTCTTTGTTGATTTTTTTACACGTCTGAGTTGTCGTCGATTCAAAGCAGGAATTATTCATCTATCATCAGACGAATTGGATTCAGCCTTTTCTCTTTGTCCTACGTGTTTGTTTTTAAATGAATTTGTCTGATGTTCTTTCTTATTTGGATTTATAAAATAATAAGATTGAAAAGAAAAATAAATGATTGTGATTATTTTAAATAAACAATTTATGTTATAAGACGAGAAACAATTTTAAATGATTAAAGAATAAGTAATTTTTTGAATATATACAGCGTGTTCCGAGTCGGTTGTTTTCGTGTCGGCCTTGTTTGGTCCTTCACCGGTTGTTACCCCGTACCTCTGCGCACAAAGCTCTCCGTTCACGGCCACAGCCGAATATTATCGCCATTCACGGGCTCGGACTGTGAAATTATTTTCGGAATCGAAAGGAAACGGCGGTTTCGATGCGCTAATCCGAACGTTTCGGACCTTGAGTGTTTATTTTAAACCTTATAAACCGATGAAATTTATCCGTTTCGAACCTATTTATCTTTTAATGAAAAATGTTTAAATGTTTATTTTTTAGTCATCGAGATCGTTCATTTCATACTTGATTTATATAAAAAAATAATAAATTAAAAATAATCTTTAAAAATAATAATAATATAAAAACATAGAGTTGTCTGCATATCTTATCATAGACGCTTTGTACAGCAACACGATAAATATAAAACAGGATGAGTTATTGTTAGTCACAAAAAGATTTTTTTAAGTGCATCATCTCATAAATTATTCACAAACATAATAGTTCTCATTTTTTTTGGTTGTAGATTATTTATTGACATCCGTCGGTATTGACGAACCAACATACAATGCGAAGGTAAATAAATAACTTGTGAAGCAAAGTTTGTACGCTCTAATTAATATATATTAACATCTTCTTTAATGTCGATTGTTTTCTAATTCTCGGTTGTTGAACCCTTTTTAATATTTGATTTCAATGGAAAAAAAATTGTCTGTTCAAGCTCACCCGCGGCAACAAAAAATCCAATGAACCTCCTGCCTGAAAGAGACCAAATATTTATCTTCCGGAGTGTTTTCCATTTCTGTAAGGTTTTTCTGGAAACCACTCGTCCGTGAGCGACATGTGCAAATTAATCAATTAATATTTTTGGCCTCGGTTCAAGCGACTCGGTCCGAGATTGAAACACTTGCAATTGACCGCGGCGGGTACATTACTCAGTGGAAGTGGTGCCAACCGTCGCCGTGTGTCTCTTAGTGTGAATGTACTTACCCGAGGAAATAATTTATTTCTTTTAATTCCTTTTTTATGTTTAATACTGACTCATAAATAAATTACTATTTATAAACCCAACTTAGTAACTATAATACATTTTTCGTTGTTTCAGATATCACTTCCTGTATACGTAAAAGCCCATCTCATCGAATATCAAATGCCGAACGTCTCCTTTCTATACCATATACAGGTAATTATATTTTTTCTATAATCTCAAAAAAAGGTTTTACCTTGTCTCGAAACTTTGTTATAAAATCTCTGGTTAATGGAAAGAAGCTTTAGTTACTTTTCCGTGGAGGTCATTCATGGATATATTCCATTAGGGAGTTGTTTTAACTAAAGGTCGTGCACAGCGGGTTAAGTGTGGGTTAATGTAAGAACAGCGGGGAATTACCTACATTTCAGCAAAAAGCGTAGCAGAAATGGGACGGGAACCGCTCCATTATTGCCGGTCGCCGCAAGAATACGTTGGATTGCCCTTCGGCCAAGCAAGATAAATGCCGTGATTTGCAAAAACCGGGCGCTTTTTCCGAGCGCTAACGAAGGCAATAAGTAAGAGAACCAACGCGGAGTTCTAACGTTTTTGCGCGAGGTTGAAACATCTGGCCGCGCACTCGGTGTAATGCTTTTGGGATTCGCGTAAACGGCCATTAGTGTTACTTTATGGTTAATTGCAATTTATAAATTAACGTTAATAAACGTGGGAGTTTTAATGCTAAAAAAATGTGGGCTTGATTATTTTTAAAATAAATAAAAAAAAGTTGAAGTGTCTTATTTCACGTAGTTTGAGGAATAGTCAGCGAACACCATTGGATGATGTTGATGCAATAATGTATAAGCCATACGTGGAGGCTTTACCTTCGATTTTACAACCACGAAAAGTCGTAAAATATAAGAGCAACAAACAACTTAATCGCCTTGCGACGCGATAAACCTACATTCCTGCTTCGTAGGAATTTTTATAAGACCGCACAATGGAGGCTTACATTCAAACAGGTAACCGTTGAAAAGAAATGAACTTTATGTTCTAGACCAAATAAAAACGGAACAAGAAAAATTTCTAAGAAAAAATACTTTTACTTGTCATAAGTCGTAAAGGTCAATGTTTTATTACAGTGAATAAAGTTGTATTTAGTTATGTTTCTTTTTGCATTTAAATTGGCCATAAATTACAATAAACACGTTATTAACAATCATTACCGAACACAAATTGCACCAATTTTAACCAAACATAATTTTTCCACACGTACGCAAACCTTGTACGAGTTTCGAAAATTTCCTATCTAAATTCACGCAGTCGCGCCCTCGTTGGTTACCATCATATCGTTTTGCATGCCGAATGAGGCCACCACCACGCTCATCCCGTCACGGCCCCAGCGGGACTCCTGTCGGATTGCGTAACAACCCGATTACGTCGAGGGACCCCCAGAAGAGCGAGAGTGAGAGCCGTTACCGCGCCGGTGAAAACAAAAATGACGAGTAAAGTACTTTCGCCGGTCGCTCGGGTCGCGTTCTGCCCGGCTTTCGCGGTCGACCCACATATCGTCGGGTCGCGATCAGGTGTTTTGCTCGACCCGCGGAGGTGGCCCCATGCCATTGATATTACTTTCGCATTTGGCTGTGAAGAACGTCACGGTTACGTGTGCATTTAGAACGTGGTCTCATTGTTGAAATAGTCTAGTATTTAATGGTGTATAGGTACTGTAATAGAGATATGTATCTGCGTATGTATTAGCTTATACAATACGATTATTTAGTTATTCGAAGTGTCAAATTCATAAATGCCATTAAAATTATCATTAATACCATTAATATTATTAACAGCTTTTACTGTTATATTATTTTTACGTTAACTCATATAATTTCAATTGAAGAAACAACTATGATTTATCCGTCAAAATTTTATACAAAATGAAGATGGTATCAAAATGGAAAAGTTATACATTAAAAACACTTTCAACATTTTTCTTGCCTGTATTCCAGTGGACTATTGACAAAATTCAATACCTGTGCTCAAGACAAGAAATTATGGAACCGTTTAGAAACTGCAGATTTACAACGCGACATTAAAAGACATTGCTAAGGATTTGTGGCATGTATGTACTACATTTGAAGACTCGGACAGTCCCACAACAGAAAAATCAATACGAATTGCACAAACTGTGGAATATAAGAAATCACATTCCACGATACTCTAGTTTTACGTTTTCTTTATGCATGATTTTCATTTACAAGTTCTTCTCTACTTCGAAGATTTGCTACAGCTACACACGCTGGATCAAAAGTCTGAAATACTCATTTACTCCTAAATGGGTAGCCAGAGTCGTACAAAACATGAATATACCTATTTTGGGATACGGAGATTCCAGACTCGCTATTCGCAATGTTACCAGATTCCAGATTTATCGGTTTTTTGATATTATAAGTCACTTTTAAATGTATGTATAGTACTTCATTATTGTTATTATATTTAATATATTTATTTCATACTTGTAGCATATTGTGATTTTGACATTAACACTAGAAGTGTCAGTAATTTGTTCGTGATTTGAAGAGTTCTTCAAAGTATATCATTTTATTATGAGAAAATATGGCAATAGAATAAGATCTACAGCGAAGAGGCAATCTTGTTCAAGGATACATACACAAATTATTCTTTTATCCATAAGACGACAGTGCTAGAAAAAACTGCCAAGCGTATTGAAGACACTGATGAATGACAACAAAACTTTAGATTCAACTCGCGCAAAACTGCACAAGTAGATGATGTAAGCTCTTCTTCAATCTTGCGTGTATTACATAAAAAAATTAAACCATACAAAGTTCAGATAAAGCAAGAATTAACTGAAAATGGCTTCGATGTTATATCAGAATTCAATGAGGTAATGATTGAAAAAATTACGATTTACGGATATTTTGTTAACATAGAATAGGAATGTAAATCCGCATAATGTAAGGTATTGGAATGATGTAAATCCCCACTGGATGAGTGAAAATCGTACTTAAAAACTACAAAAGTTACAAATGTATGGCCGCATATACATAGAGTAATGCAGGTATGAAATGCTACTTAGAAATTAAATTGTACCTACACCCAGAAACTTGTTTGAAATCAATTCGAATCAGATATGGTTTTCACAAAACGGGGTTGAACTCATTTTGGCATAAATATTCGGCGTTATTTGAGGTATTTCCTGGACAATAAATTGGTATACGAGAGAATGGCCTTCTCCTTGAAAAGTTGAATTCATAAAACTAAACCTGGAATTCTCGCAGAGTTAAGGCACCCAATTATCGATGAATCACGATTAATTTCCGGAGAATCATGGAGGAATGTAATAAACACATTCTACCATCGGTTAGGGTACTATTAAGTTAACAACGGAGTGCATTAAAAATCCTAAATGAGTAATAGTATCAAAGAAACGGCAAATGTGGCAACATTGCAAATATTACAGCTGGAATTCCCGTATCCTAAAATAGGGATATTCCAAATTCTAGTTCATTAGAAAGTTAGTTAGCAATACTCTTAGTATGACTACGAAAAGTCGTTTCACAACTTAAAGATTTAGACATATCGTTTGAAGTTTTTTTTTCAATCAACCAAATGTATGGTTTCTTTGAATATGTCCACGACAAATTTACGCACAATAACCCTACGTAAAGGTTTTGAATACTTGCGTGGGACTTATATTGCACAAATGTCGGCATGCACAGCACATACACACGTCCGTTAAAATTAATTAACACCTCGAACCGTGCCATTATTGTGATTTTCATAGTGACGGAGCGCTCGCAGCGGCGGCGCCGAACAATGAATAGAGCTATAAATCGTATAATATCTCCAATATAAAAGCCTTTGGAGTAATGGCGTGGCCCGGTTGTGCGCGGAACTTATAGTGAAAAAATGGCTTCTCTATTGTTCGTAATCGATAACGACAATTTGCCCGCGGTGCGTTTCGATAATGGTGTGTTTGTGTGTGTATGAATGCGCGCGGGGCTGTGCCTGTTTACGTGTCCGACTGAAGACATGTCTTTCTTTAACCGTTACGCACGCCGGACTATCAAGACGTACTCTGATAGAATCTTAATGGTGAGCATTATTGTTGCTACTCGTCCAGTTTCGAGGAGACGTAGTTTTCTTGGTAGCCATGCAAACGTCAGCTGAGTTAAACGCTACGTGGATGTGTACTTGGAATTAAAAGTGTGAGCGTGCACGTGGATAAGGAAATTTTTGTTAAAAAAACTTTGTAAATTGTCAGCTTGATCCTGATATATTTCCCGTTTTCAACAATCTTTATGAGTTTATACTTTTAGCAAACAAGCTTGAGATTAAGAAACTGTTTATGCAGGAAGATATATGGATACATATGTAATAAAGAATTTCAGAGAATCAAAACACACATTTGATGTGTTAAGAAATGTTTATGGAACAATTTGTATATAAGAATTAATGTCAAAGATGTTTCCTTAAAATTAACATATACAGATTACGCAACACCTGCATTTCTATGCATCAACACTTACTTCCGTACCAATTAAATCACAAGACACGACTTGTGATACTCAACGCCAGCTGCGTCATTCCATCTGCCGGGAGGAGAAACTGTGCGCGGTGCAAGCACGGCAAATGTTTCAAGTCCATGAAGAAATGTCGCAGCTGCTAATCCCCGAACCTTTTTATTTAGAAAACCTTACTACCACACCACACTACCCACCTCACTGTTTTTTTTGCGTTACGTAATTATTATTACTTCACGCTGTGCTTTTTTTTTGTAGAAAAAATATATTCCACCAGGAAAATCGTTAAACCAATTTTAAGTGTTTGTTTTCTTGTCGTAAAATGAGGTGTTTAATGTTCGTTTGGTATTGAATGATGTACTAGAAAATTTACCGAGAAAATTTTTGGATGTGAAGAGGATATTTGGGGGGCGCGGTCATTAATACGGGCGAAAAAGTGAAAACACTTGAAACAACATGAAAAAAACATTGCGGTTTTTTGCGAGAAGATCCAAGGAGCGGATTCCTTTGATGTGTCAACACCGCCCACGCGTGCGGTTCGCCGGCGACTTCTTTCTCGCGCTTATGATTTATTTTCCGCCTGGGACGCGTCCGGGCGGTGCGTTATTTAGAAGAGATTACCATTTGTCATCTAGAATTTCTCTGGCGACTCTTAATAATGCATCCGTT